CCTAGCACAGGGCGGCCCTGCCTGACTGTGGCAAGCTTGAGGATGATGGATGATGGTGTGTGTGTGCGTGTGTGTGTGTGTGTGCGCGCGCGCGGCTTACCAGAGTGTGAGGTCGCCATGTGAGGTCATCGTTCCAAGTTCCTATTTTTGGCGGGAGACGATGCTCAATCGTCAATTTCGACAGGGGCTTGCTTTCGAGAGACTGCACCTGGGGCAAGGCGGCAAAGGCCCGGAGAAGAACCACGGACAACGGCGACGAGCAATTGAGCCAAATGGGCACATATTAACCGGTAGATGAGGGATTCAAAGACACTGCCACATCTGGCGTGACCTGAATGATATCACGAGCGACATGATTGGAAGCACCATCCACCCTGGAAGCATATTGCGAGAATCCTGATGCACGCACTATACATGCAAGCCGGATGCGAGTTGGTAAGTATGAGCGAAATATGTATATATATCAAATCAAATTCTTTGTCTGTCCCGTGCATTCGGCCGCAGATCGCAGATATTGATATGGTCCATGGATGCGTGAATCTCGCCGCTGGCCGGAGCTAGGAATAGTTACTTACTGTAGTAGCGAGCAGGATCTCATAGTTCTCGGGCCTGTCCAGGTTGATGATGAAGCAGGGCATTGTTGAGCCACCTGCTTCGTACGGTATGAAAGATGCTTAGGCCAAGTCGAGTCGAGTCGGTACGGCTGCCCAACGAGAACCTCACTCGTCACCAGCAACTTGGAGGGAGAAGGAGAACGTGCGAGCGGTGGCGTCTGGTGCGAGGACTGTCAGAAATCGAGGCGAAAGCGACGTCGAGGCGAAAAAGGGAGGGTGTGTTCTGGTGGTTGGTGGTGGCGGCTACAGGTCAAGTGGTGAGGGGTGTCCGAGTGCGAGTATCCGCCCTTCGCAGCAATTGACTGACCGTGACGAACGCCTGGTGGATTCTTGCAGCATCAGCACCGTGTCCTTGACTGGTGACGACGACGACCACGGCGACGATGAGTTGATGCAGAGATGGAAGCTCTTTTCTTGCCCGTCAAGTTACCTCGATGAGAGGCCGCGTCTCTTCCGGAGTCGTTGCTGGTAAGGAGGGCAAAGAGGGCAATTAGTACCTACCTAATTACATACCTAGGTACTACTCAGGCAGTAGCGGCCGGTGGAAGCTTGAGCCTTCCTGCAGCGCCCAGAGCAAAAACCTGCGGTAGCTCAGCAGCAAAAGAAGACGGCGCTACCGGGACATCAGGCCACAGCTTCTTGCCACCCCAACTGTCCAACAGCCTGCGCTTTCCTATTCCAAGACATCTTGGGTACCTGTAGGACGTCATGCATGAGCTTCAATCTTGGGTAGCGGTATGACCCTGTCTGGGAACACTGCGTTTAATGGCTGCGTAGAACATCAGGTTTGAACACAGCAGTTTGCCCAGGGATAGACGAGGATGGGTAGGTACTAGGTACTAAGGTAGGTAGGTAATACCTCAGAAATGGGAGAAGAAAGGGGGATACCCGCCGTACGATCGTTCCTTCTTTGTCGACGACCAGTTGATCTATTAATACCTCTACAGACGCAGAGACTCCACGAGGCCACGGTGCCTGAAGGCTGAAGTGTCGCCTCGTGAGCTGCTCCTTCTTTCTGTATCAGGCGGCATGGGATGGACAGGGCGACTTCTGCTTGCCCCGACAGTCTAGCAGCTCGGCTCTCGTCATCCCACATCTGGCTCCAGAGCGTTCACCAAATTGCTGTGGCTCTGATTTCCGTCATCTGGACCAGGCCTTATTACCAATGGCCTCCATCCCGCAGGTTACCTGTTGCCTCAACGGTCAAAGGTACAGGTCGCTACAGGTACCACTGCAGGTGGTGGCCACTAGGGGACCGCCGGCCTGCATGGTTCTCTGCACGGCCAGTCTTTGACTTCCGCTTGCCGAGTTTTAGCGCCAGGTGCCCGTCTCAAAATTGAGCACATGAGCATCTACAGCCTAACAGTGCGGGTCTGCTGGATCTCTTTGAGAGGCTGGCTGGTCGCTGCGGAAAGGTAAGGTACCCAAGGTACGGGTACGGGTATGGGCAGTACCTCCTCGTAGCATCGAGAGAGGGGACCACGTTTTCAACCAGCAGCAGCATCTTTTCCTCGAGTCATTGCAAGATAATACTGTATGTACATACGGTAGAAGCACACGCACACAAGCAACAGAGGAAGCAGAGACAAACAGAACGAGAGGGGAGGGCAACGGGCACTGATTGGCTCAGGCATCTACCTAGGGCCTCTCTGCTGTGCCTTGAAAGTACCGGGTGCAAGCGAGTCCTCCAGCGGCAGTCGTTCTGGTGGCAGTAATGGTAGTACTGGTACTGGTACCTGGGGTCTGATCCAGTGTTTTCACGATAAGCGCGTCCCTGCCGCCTGTGCCTATCCTCGCTGCTGTATCCATCCAATTTCTCTGCACTCCGTACCTACTTCGTATGCAGAGGTCACCCGCCATGACCCTGCTGTACTGGGCTTAGGCTCCCCTCCCGCAGCACCAGCTCGCAGATTACCAGGTACCTGCTAACCAACCAAGGTACCGACTAAGTGCCTCACCAGCACCTTCTGCAAGCTCACACCACAGGGTGTTGTACCTGTTTCTCGCCATCGTCCGCCCCTCGAATCGACCCATTGAAGACGACGAGAGACGACAAACCCGCGAATGCCTTCTGCAGCGCATGCATCGTGAATTCGCACAGCTAATCCGGCATTCTCGTCTGCAACCTGCCCCTGCCGCTTGCGTTGGCCTCAGGCACGCCTGCTTCGTCGTCTGCCCCGTCTGCCTGTCCTGTCCTCCTTCTGGCCTCTTTTGTGCGTGCTGCGTTGGTCAGGTGGCCTGGTACCTACTCGGGAGGTACATCTACTCGTAGCCTCCCCCCGTCTGCACCTGCACCCTTCTGCTGGAGACTTTTATTACCTCGCCCTCCCCTCCTCGACCTTTTCCCACCTCACCTTGAATCTTCCCTTCTTTTACTTTGGTACACCGAGCAGACCAGAGGACCATTAAAGTGTACGTTGACCACCGCTTGCATATCTAGGCATGCCTCCCTCCATCACTTTCCCCTAGTGCAGTCCGTGCAGATTCTCCGATGGCAAGCTTGCTTGGCCCTCGCTCTGCATGCTCTAACCAAGAACCCATTTGGCTGATGATAGACCACAACTTGAAGACCTGTGCTGCCACTTGACCCCGAGAGCAGCCAGCAGCAGGGTGCCCCGCATCGCCGCCGAGTCTAAAGAGCCCTGCAACGCGACAGCCACAGAGAGCCGAGTCACTACCAGTAGTATTACCTACTACTACCTAGTCGCCAAACGAAAAGCGTCTTCTCCCAACGTTCATCTCGTAATCGACGTTCAGATCTCACTATATCGAACCTGTCTGTTACTCGACAGTCCGTCATCGTCAATTCCTGGTCTACAATACATCACACCTCCCGGAGCCGCTGCTTAGCCGTCTTGTCTCCTCGTGAGCCTGTGCAACCAGAGCCAAAAGACCTTGGTGCCGTCAGCGTCGCGCCGTGCTCCACCAGCCCTCCGTGCCGGTCCTGACGTACATCATCCACCAAAAAGCCTCCCGTTTCTTGTGCTTGGTCCTGCTCCTGAGCCGCCAACGCTACTTCGGACGCACATTCGCAGAGCAGCAAAGCTGGGTTTCGCAGGCGCCTCGACGACTCAATCCGCATCGTCCTCGCCGTGAGCCCGTATCTGGTAGGTTCCAAACTTTTCCTCGTCTACCTTCTTAGTCTTCCTCTTGGGTTCGCGCCACGGCGTGCGGCGCTGGCCAAAGCCCTCAACTCTCTCACCTGCCTCCCCGCCGCCTGCTCTTCCCGCTGCTCTTCCCTCTCGTCTGTCTGCCCGCTCTGCATCGCCTCTCGCGGCATGCAATTCGGCGCTCGTCCTGCTCTCGTCAATCGCTCGCCTACCCCCGTCGCGCTTTCCCCTTGTTCTGCGCTGCCTGCCTGTCTCCTGCCCTGCTGCTTTGTCGCCTGTTGCATGTCACGAGCCCGCCACATTAAGCACCCCGCCCCGTTCCCTCTACAGACCCGCCGCTCCCTCTGGCTGCCCAGCTTTCTCGTGCCACTACACCAGCTTCTGCTAGCCATCTGGACCTGTGGAATTTTCTCTACTCCCGCTGCCGCCTGTCACCTCCTGATTGCACGTACGGAGTACCTCGACGCTCTTAGCAGCTGCTTTCTTCTTTCTGGAGGGCCATCTTTTCCCTTTTTCTTCTTCCTTTCCCAACCCCTTCTTCTCTCCCACCCTTCACTCTCCTACCCAGTCCCGCCGTCTTCCAGCCTGGCGCACCTCAAGTCCCCCAACCCACCGAGTAGTCCCTGGATTTTCAACCTGATTTCCTAGGCCACAGCCCTTTTCGCGCCGGCTGGCCATTTCATCATTGGCAGAGCTACCAGGTTTTTCTTCGCCCAGCGCGTCCGCCTTAGTTGGTTGCCTTTTCCCCCTCCAGCTTCTCAGCCCCAGTCTCCTTCCCTCCCCGCACTTCCCATTTCGCCCTGGCAGCGAGCGTGTCACCACAATTCATGACTTGTTCACCTGCACTCGGTTTCCATTGCCGCTGCATTCTCCAAATCCTACCCCGTCGAGATTTTTGATTCTCGTGACCTCTCAAAGAGTCTGGGCGAGAGTCTCATGTCGCTAATCTCGGTGCGTCCTTGACAGCTCCTCTGCAGACTCCTCCTCAGCTGGAACTGCACGGAACTCAACCAGCCGCGTGTCATCGCCGCAACAGCAAACTCAGTCGAGAGAAGAGACTGCCCGGTCGGCCAAGCATCGACGTCTCCCCCCAGCGACAGAAGCCCTCGCGACTCGTCGCGTTGCACCGTTGTCTCGTTTTTTTCTTTTCTCGTTGCCCACCACGGCCCTCGCCAAGCCTCGTTCTTCGTTGCCCCTCACCTGCCTGCCGCTTGGGTGTTTCAAACTCGATCTCCGATAGCATTGGCGCCGTAGCCCGAAAAATACTTGGCCCAACATGTCAGCCCACCGACCGAATGCTTTTAACAGCTTGCGGATGGGAGGTGAGTTATCGCACGATTTGTGGTTGTTCGTCGTTTGATGAGACTCATGTCTGACGCCGTCTGCAGAGGTGATCCGCGAGAAAGTTCAGGATGGTATCACGGGCGAGACCAGAGACTTGCAGTATACGCAGTGCAAGATTGTCGGAAACGGTTCATTTGGTGTCGTCTTCCAGACCAAGCTCTCGCCGTCTGGTGAAGATGCCGCCATCAAGCGAGTTCTCCAGGACAAGCGATTCAAGGCACGATTGCCCTTTGTGTTCATCATCAAAAAGTCTCTGATGGACTAACCATTTCCCTCACAGAACCGCGAGCTTCAAATCATGCGCATTGTCCGACATCCCAACATCGTTCAGCTAAAGGCTTTCTACTACTCGAACGGCGAACGTGTATGTCTAGTCTCGCACCTCTTGGCTGCACTCTTGCTGACACCTTTCACAGAAGGACGAAGTCTATCTCAATCTGGTTCAAGAGTTTGTTCCCGAGACCGTCTATCGTGCCTCCCGCTTCTTCAACAAGATGAAGACGACCATGCCTACTCTGGAAGTCAAGCTTTACATCTATCAGCTCTTCCGAGCCCTGGCATACATCCATTCCCAGGGCATCTGCCACAGAGACATCAAGCCCCAAAACCTTCTGCTTGATCCCAACAGCGGCGTCCTGAAGCTGTGCGACTTCGGCAGTGCCAAGATCCTTGTCGAGAACGAGCCTAACGTCTCGTATATCTGCTCCCGATACTACCGTGCCCCCGAGCTCATCTTTGGTGCTACCAACTATACCACCAAGATTGGTATGTCGTCGGCATCTGCCCATGAGAGCCTGTGAAATCGCTAACATGATATGCAGATGTTTGGTCCACGGGATGCGTCATGGCCGAGTTGATGCTCGGCCAGCCCTTGTTCCCCGGCGAGTCGGGCATCGACCAGCTGGTTGAGATCATCAAGGTGCTCGGCACTCCCACCAGAGAGCAGATCCGCACCATGAACCCAAACTATATGGAGCACAAGTTCCCGCAGATCAAGCCTCACCCGTTCAATAAGGTATTCCGGAAGGCTGATGCCAATGCCATCGATCTCATTTCCCGACTCCTCGAGTATACGCCGACCGAGCGCCAGGCGGCCGTGGATGCCATGGTGCATCCCTTCTTCGACGAGCTTCGGGACCCGGCCACCAAGCTGCCCGATTCGCGCCATGGAACCGGTCAGCTGCGAGATCTGCCCGATCTTTTCGACTTTACCCTTCACGGTAGGCTTCATGAATTCATCATGTGACTTCAATGGACCGCTTGACTGACGTGTTCCCAGAACTCTCCATCGCTCCTCACCTGAACCACCAGCTCGTACCACCGCACATGAGGCCTGTTCTTGCGGCTCGGGGACTTGATATTGACAACCTTACGCCGATGGCGAAGCAAGACATGCTGGCGAAACTCGACTGAGCCACCTGTCGGCCGAATAGAGCTGGCAGGCTTCTGCTGGACTCTTGGAAGCACTTGTTGTCTCTTGAAATACAGCCCTGTTCTCTTCCTCCGCAGTGTGGAGCTTGGGTTGGTGCCGAGGGTAATGGCTCGCTACAAGACTTGGGCCGCGACTGGGGAAGAGCGGATGAGATGTTGTTCTCAAAAGCTTGCCGTGCGAGAGCCCGCATGCTCAGCACTTTGGGAGGTGGGCAATATGGGTATGTGACGAGATGTTGTGGAGAGGAGAGCTTCGGACATTGTCTCAAATTTGGCAAAGGAAGGACAGGAGGCGTTTTTTTTTGATCCCCTAAACACCCTTGGTTTGCCAGGCGGGGGACCTGGGCCACCCGCCAACTCGAGGGAGGCTGCATTGATGCGCATCGCGGGAGATCGCTTCTTTAGACCACGTTTCGATGCATGACGGGGCTGGCTGTTGATTCTTTTTATTATTCTTTGTTTCCTGTTGTCGTGTCATGAGGCTCCATGCTTATGGAGCGGAGGTGGCTATTAGGTCTATGGTCTCGGTTGTCGACCTTGTGTCTCAACATGAGTGTCTCCTTTGTCGCCTTCCACGCATCGGCGCACAGTGGGAGAAGGGAATCTGGGAGGGGGGAGGAAACGTTGAAATTGCTGGACCAGATTTGATATCTTGGATCGTGGGATATAGAGCCCCTGCAGCAAAAGCCCGGACGTCGCAGACAATGGATGGGGAAAATGAGCTTTAGCGGGACAATAGGACAGGCATCGTTTAAACAGATGAAAAAAAGGAATGGGAGTCGGACTTGCTACTACTGCCATGGCGTTGAGAGCACCCAAGGGAGAGCCTCTGTGGTTCCGATCATTGTGGGTGGTTGTGATGAAGGGGGGCAAAAAGTGAGCAAAGGAATGAATGTATGTATCTTGGACGTCTGGGGCAAGCCACTAAAAGAGATTACGCTTAGAGGCCCTTAACAGCGGTTTTTGGGACGCGCTTCGTTGCCGGATGAAGCTTGCATTCAATGGTGAAGAAGATGTGTGATGTGGTGGTGCATCGACTCGTTGAGTGAGTGTTGTAATACATGTCTGAAGTATTGGGAGCACGAATTGCTGCAGCCAGCCTAATCGAAAGAGCGCTAAACCTTACGAGACTGGATGTAATATGCTCATGAGTACCTTGTGATAGGCACGAGTACTACTGTAATGAAGATGTATGTATTACTGTAAAGCCACATTGCCTTGTCATGAAATGCAGTGCAATATTTTGAGCGCTTCCCTCGTTTTTGTCGCCAAGTCGCTTTGGCTGTTTGTCGAATGTACTGTACATTAGTAGTACGTACTTACCTAAGGTACTGGCCCGCTCGAGCCGCGCATGTGAGAAAAGCTTTGTGGAGAGGCAGCGCAGCAAGAGAGCAAACAAGAAGTTGCAGCCTGAGGCACCAATATGGACCGGGGTTGATGGGCGGCTGCACGTCGCGGCTCCACCTTGGCGCAGGGAATGATTTCAATGGACTGCTGCTCGAGCTTCGGCTGACACCAAACGCTTTTTCGAAGCCGTCGCGCGCGTTGCCTTGCAGCACCCAGTTTCCCGAGCTATTCGCAGCACCTCGTCTCGACTTGTGCAGTCACCAATTGCCCGCCTCGCAACCATCTCGATTCCCAGCCGCGTATCTCGAGATCATGGCCGACTACGATAGAAGGCAGCAGGGCGGCAACAGCCGCAAGAGGAGATACAGAGGTTCGTCCATTGTCCCCTTCCCCAGATGCGCCCCCGTCACACGCAGTGCACAAGCTCATGCGACCGCTGCTCGGTTTCTCTTTCTGCAGATGACGACGACCACTACGACCGCCGACAGCAGCGCAGGCGGACGGACTCGGTGCCCGTGCCTGTGCGGCTGCGGAGGCAGCTGGTTGGCATCGCCGACTCTCCCCTGCGACGATGGTCCGAGGAGGTGCAGTCGATAGCCCGCCTTGTCGCAGACAACTATGACGACGAGAACCTGCGCAGTACGTTTGTCGGCCTAGCGCTGCAGCTGGCTATCGAGCAGCCGCTTAAGACGCCCTTTGTGGCGGCTGTTGTGCTGGTGGCCAACACGCTTAAGCCCGAGATCGTGGACGCCGTCCTCGAGGCCCTCGCAAAGGAGACCGAAGGCAAGATTGCCAAGGGCGAGTGGAGGGAGGTGAAGCTGTACCTCAAGTTTCTGGCGTGTCTGCAGGCGTGTCTGCAAGACGATGGGGTGTTCCCTCTGCTCGAGGAGCTCTTCAGCCGCGCTGCTGATTTGCAGACGGCAAGCTCGGAGGATGTAAGTGTCTCGTCTTCCTCTCCTAGCACTTATTGGAATCCTTCGTCTCTTCGTCTTTTGCTCTAACGCTTTTACGATTGCCAGACAATTGGCACAGAAATTGTCAAGATTATTCTGCTCACGATTCCCTACATCATGGCTGCGGCCCCCGGCCAGTTCCAGCAGAAGGCGGCAGAGCTCATGGAGAAGACCGACATCATCGCTTCCGAACCCCACGCGCTTCAGGCCTTGGTCGATCCCTACGGCCCTGACCCCTCGGGCGAGAACGCATCGCCATCTCAAAGCTTGTGCATGCTTTTGCAAAAGCAGCTACAGGCTGAGGCCGCGAAGAATTGGGAGCTGACCTGCATCCCTCGGCCCTGGAACATGCCCCTCGAGGAGATTGAGTCGCAGGACAAGCTTGCCAGCGCACCGAAGCACGCCTTGCCCACGATTTCCATACCATCCACCGTGGTTGCGGGCCCTCGACCGCTGTTCCCCGAGGTCTACTTCTCCGTCTACGCTGACCAGGACGTCGAGTCTGTGCCCCCTACGGATAATGTGGCGTCGTCCCTCATCAGGGATGGCCTTACCGACACCATCAACAGCCTGCATTTCAACAGAAATGCCACTGCGAGATATCTCATTGATCTGGACTGCTATTTCGCAGACGACACCTTTGTCAAGCGGGCCACTCCGTTTGACGAGCTGCGCAACGCAGCCCCGGGACGATCCACCTGGAAGCCTGAAGATGTCGCCGTCGATATTGTCTTCTCACAGCTCTTCCAGCTGCCCTCGCCCGAGCACAAGTTGGTCTACTACCACTCCGTCCTGACGGAAGCTTGCAAGCTGGCTCCGGCTGCCATTGCGCCAAGCTTGGGCAGAGCCATTCGCCATCTGTACAACAACTCGCCCCGAATGGACCTTCAACTGAGCTTCAGATTCGTCGACTGGTTCTCCCACCATCTAAGCAACTTCGGCTTCACGTGGAAGTGGGCAGAGTGGAGCGACGACTGCGGCCTTTCCGATCTTCACCCTGCAAAGTGGTTCCTCAGAGGCGCGTTGGATAAGGAGGTACGGCTCAGTTTCGCTCAGCGGATTCAAAAGACTCTCCCGGAGCCGTACCAGCCCCTGATTGGCCCAGAGAAGGAGAAGGACGTGCCTGATTTCAAGTTCAGCAACCCTGGTGAGTTCAAACCATCCCTGTGAGGTAGTATTCATACGAAATGCGTTACTGACCTTGTTTCCGTCTCTTCCAGATACGCCATTTGCCAGCGAAGGCCAGGAAATCGCCGCCTTGCTCAGGAAGAAGGCACCCGATGAAGAGTTCCAGCCCATCATTGACAAGATCCAGGCAGAAGCCGCCGAGAGAGCCCTCGACCCCGTCGTTGCAAGCACTGATGTCTTCATGACGGCCGTTTGCTGGGTCGGATCCAAGTCGCTGAGCCACGTCCTGGCCTGCATCGACCGCAGCAAGGGACGTCTCCTTGAGGCTGCCAACTCATCCCCGGCAGCACAGAACCAGGTTCTGGCGGCTGTCATGGCATACTGGCACGCACACCCCGGCGTTGCCCTGTCGATTGTCGAGAAGCTGCTCAACTATTCCATTCTCACGCCTTCATCCGTCGTCCGCTGGGCTTTGACGGCTGACAACCACCCCAATGCTGCCAGCGCGGGCGAAGCTCTTGCGCAGCCTCACATCTTCGAGCTCGTCCTCAACACCGTGACCAAGGTCACTGGTCGCGTCCGCCAGCTGCTCACCTCGGCCGACGCGGATGAGGAGGCGCGCAAGACGGATGTCAAGGCCATGCAGGACCTTTTCGCCCTGCTCAACGACTTGCTGGTCAGCTGGGCCGGCGGCAACAAGGACGAGCTGATGGAGATGGGCGACGGCTCGAGCGAGCCCGAAGTCCTGATCCGGAATTGGGGCCAGCGGTGGCTGCGTGTGTTTAAGCGGCTGGGCGCGATTGAGGAGGCGTTTGCCATTGAGGCCGCCAAGGAGAAGCCCAGTTCGTCGTCGAACGGAGTCGATTCAGTCTAGAGAGCCTGGATCGAGGAGTATGACGATATACTGTAGGAATACAAATCAATGCGGCGAGGTGGGCAAGGAGAAGTTACGAAGGGTGAAGCTCATATCAGAAACACGGGGGGGAAGGGTCCGGATCAATACTTTGTTTGCCATAGTCTTCCTTCTTGCCTCGATATAAGCAGGGATGTAGGGGCGATACACTCGCCAGGTTCTTAGAAAAACAAAGATCTCATGAGGAATATTCACCTGAATGTTGATAATTGTCTCTTCATAAAGAAATAGATAACATTAACATATGCTGATCCCTGATTACATTGCCTCGCTTGGTAATTGAAATCTTGAGAAGAAAGTGTTTCTTTCTTATCCCACAATTTCCTGTCCATCCAAAAAGCCAGCAAAAGGTATTTGAGAACGATACAAGCAATTCATCAATGGATATTGTACATGCAAAAAGCAAAGAGTCGTCATGTTAGACTCAGCCGTCAACTCCGCTGTGATTTTCTCATTACCAGATGCCAAGTTATCCCCAAATTTGCCCTGAGAAGTCGTGAACCCAAAAGCCGGTAGGAAGGCATGCCTTGCCATCCATATTAAACAGAAAAAAGTTAAAGGGCAGGAAAAAAAACCAAGGAATATCGAGAAAGTATGAACAGCAAAGGAAGAAAAAAAAAATGGATTAGTCCGGCCTTCTGCGCCTCGAACTGGAAACCAAGATGCAGTCGTCATCGCTGTCGTCGTCGTCGAGCTGCAGCGTCATACTATCAGTTTCCTCTTGATCGGGGACGGGAGCGTTCCGCCCTGGATCGGCGACTGCTGCTGGTCCGGCTGCGCCTTTTCGCCCATTCGCTTGAGCTTCTCGAGAAGATGACTGCAAAAGTGTTAGACTGGGTATTCTATCAGACACGGGCTGGGGGCGGCGGCGGAACTGGGCAACGAGTCGTCGGAAGGAATCCGTGGCAGATCCACTTAGATCTGGTACAAGGTCTGGTGCATCATTTGGAGGATCGTCTGGCAGGCTATCTGGTATACCACCTGGTACATCATCCGGTTCTGGGCTTGGGTAGGAGGTGCGCGCGGGAGGAGAAGGAGGAGGAGGAGGAGGAGGAGGAGGACTTGTGATGTTGGTTGCTTCATTCACCGGGGGCATCATCTCAGCGAGGATAAGGAAGGGTGGGAAGTATGCGTACTTTATAGGCATGTGTCCGCGGGTGCTCTCCGTGACCGCCAGGTTGAGCCTTTTGCTTTGCTCGTCGTGTTCTTCAAAGTGCTTCTGAATCCGAACTTGGCAGGCTTGCGCATCCCCGCCGCGCACGATGTAGTCGCAACCGTCCTGGTCACAGTTCCAAGTATCGTCAGGGCCACGAGGGATGGTGGACGGTATTTTCTCAGCGCGGATCAAAATCTGGATCGGCTCTGCATCCTCCGATGGCGGCTGAACGACCAGGCCGGCATCCCTGGATGCGCTCGCATCGGCCGAGTCCTGCATCGTGGTGTCTTCCTCTTCCTCTTCATCATCTCTATCCGAAAAGTAGTGCGACCGTTTCACACCGGAGGCCTCAGAGTCCTGATCACTCTCGTCTCCAATGTCGGCATAGGGCCGCTTCTTATAAGCGGAGATTCGCAGTGCTGATGTTTTACCTGGCTGCCGGCCAGGCCGTTTCACCGTCTTGCCGGCGTGTCGGGGCGGGTCGCTGGAGCCTGCTGTGCCATCGTCGCGCGGAGATGACTCTGGATCGCCGGAACCTAATGCTACCTTCTTGGACGCACGCACAATCGTCTTGCGCGGCTCTAATCGGTACGGAAAGTCTGATGACTTGAGGGCGCGTGGCGTAAACGGTTTTGCTGCCAGCTCCTCCAGGTAAGTATAGAACCCATGTGGCTGGTACTTCGCCCTGTCGAGTGTCTGTAACAAAGCGGCGGCATAGTAGTGCAAGACCTCTTCGACGGGAACCCGATGGCTTCCAGGAGAGCCGTCCTTATAGTTGGGGAACTTGTAGTGGAAATAGAGGCCGTTGGCAGCATTTGTGGCGGTAATGCCCTTCTTGGCTCCACGTCGTTCTTCGTAAAGCCTCTCGATTGCGTTGAAAACGGAGGCAAAGGGGGTTTCGTCATTTGCGGCAGGGCTCATTGTAGCCTCGGCCGAAGGAGTCGGTATAGCTGGTCTGTGTGCAGCAGCACCAGGGCTTGCCATGTCTACCTGTGGGCTTGGCTTCGGTCGTTTCGAGAGCTGGACCGTATCTGCATCGATCTCATTGCTGAGACTCCTGGTATTGCGGGTTGAGGGCCTGTGACTGGGTGCCGGGCTCGCCATGTCTCGCGCAGGACTGACTGGTTTCCGTGGGTTTTTGAGCGCCAACTCGGTCTTCCGGACCACATCCTATATACTCGTTAGCTGCCGACGCAGTCACTGGTTTGTAGGAAGTCACTCACGGCATGCTGGGCCGTAAACCATCTGTGGAACGGAGTTTGCTTCCAGTCGATGAGGTCGAGAGACTCCTGTCCGAACTGGCAGACGAAGAAGATGGCGTGCTCAGTGCACCGCTGCACTACCTCGTTGAAAGTTGCGCCGTCGCCAACTTTCATGGCATACTGGAGACTGCTGTAAGTAGTGGCCATTGCACGTTGCGTGAAGGGGTCCTGCTCACCTGTAGAAAATCCTCCCTGAGAGCCTCGAGAGAGTTGGCGTGGGCCCTCACGGGCGTTCTTCTGAACTTCTCAGAGGTGTATATATCCACTAGGCTGTAATACATGGTCGTGGCTTCGCACATCTTGTTGAAGATGGGCCGATATGCTTCTGACGGGTTGATCTCGTACCAACCGCCTCGGCCCAAGACCCAAACGACAGGGCGCGCTTCGTCTTCTCCAATCGAATAAGAGATGCAATGGCGAATCTCTATAGGCGTAGATGCTCGTGGCCTCGGCAAGATGACTGCAATTGTCAGATGAGTTACTCCATGAGCCCGCAAAGGGACGACTGACTGTGTGACTTTTGAGAGGGGTCGTCGATGATGAGATGGCCTCTCACGATGTACGGGCCGCGCACCACGACGTTGAGTGCATTCTCAAGCGACTCGCCGTTCATATCGTACACAGTCGCATCGCGCAGCTCGAAGCACGGGTAGAGGTCCTTGGAGACGTCCTTGGGCTGTGACCTGACCACCGACACCTCCTGCAACCAATGGATCCTGTCGCCGTCGACGGTCTCGACGCTCGAGGTCGAGGCCCTTCGCCTGCGCCCGCTCATCTTGGATCGCAGAGGTGTTGGCGGACCATAGGAGGCCACGCGGTTATATGAGAGGAGCAGGAGTTGGAGGAAGTCGTGGAGCTGAGACCCGAACCCCAAGCCAGGGATTGAGAGCTTCGTCGGCGATGGTGGTTCGGTGGTGTTGGTTGTTTGTATACACGCTTCGGGGTCGAACAGCCGGATTGCCGATCGAGCAGTTTGATCGCCTTGTAATGTGACCAGATCAAAAGGTCAAACAACGTTGGATAGAGGAAAATCGGAGAGTCGAATTGCAGTGTTTGTTGGACGTGTGTTGGCGCAGTTGAAAGGCAGATGCGGAAGTCGAAAAAGCACATGCGGCAGCACGAAAAGCAGCCAGTGGATTGGCACGATACATGTATACGGGTAGCGCGTTAATGGGCGTCATAGCGGTCGGCTGGTTCGCGATTGACGGGCGGCGCGGAAGTTGGAGGGTCTCGGAGGGGGTTAGTGGCTGCTTCTGCGCCGGTGGGCGGTGGAGGGGGCCCTGAAAGGCTCGCTCAGCTGCTGTAGCACAGCGCTGTCAGGCTGCATCTCCCCACTGGGTCAGATGGATCAACGGCTACTGGGCAGGTACTGTACAAACAGTCGTAAAGGTATACAATAGCTGTCACTCACTTGGGCATTCTTGGTCATATGATACGATCGACAGTCTTGAGGATAATTTGATTGTTTCTTCATATTGATCAAACTCAAAGTGCGCATCTCTCGGCTTGAGAGGTGAAAACATGCAGCTGAGTACAAAGTCAGCGGCCATTCCGTCGACTGCGGAGAACGCACAGTACTCTGTACCTCTGGTGCGCGTCGGAGGGGCTTCTCTACTTGCTACGCCCCGCCATTCATGGTGCATCTCATGTACTTCAACGCTAATGTCAGATTAGCCAAGTATCCGTACCTAGTCCGCCGCAATCTCTTATCTTTACGCTAGGTCAATTTTTTTTTTCTTCCCGTCGCTCGCGGGTTCCTGGTCGCAGGCGAAAGTGAGATCGTGGTGAGAACTGCATACTAACCTACCTCTTGCAGCTTCCATTTTACATACGCATCTTTCTCTCATCTCTCTTTTTTGTTTTTTTCCATCTCCTCCTCTTCTTCTCTCTTCAAACGCTTCCTCTTTCGCTCCCTCATCCAGCTCAGGCCTCGCATGCGACGGATTGGAAAAGCACTCTCGACAATGGCTTCGGACGTCGTCCGTGATGGTGTCTTTGGTAGGCCTTGTTCCTATTGCTCAGTTCCAGCCTCTTTGCGTCTTCGCCAATGCGTTTGGCTCTGACGGAGAGTTGCTAACGTATCATGCGTGCCGTCTTAGCCATCAACAAGCCTTGCGGCCTCAGCTCGGCCCAGGTTGTGCGAGAATGCCAACAAGCCTTCAACCCCTCCGCCCTCTTCAAGCCCATGATCGAAGCAGAGATAGCCCGCCGGCTTAAGGAATCGGGCGGTCAGTTCATGCGACGCAAGGCCGAGAAGAAGGCCTCGCAAGTCAAGATTGGCCATGGAGGCACGTTGGATCCTCTGGCTACTGGAGTGTTGATCCTCGGCGTCGGTTCGGCCACGAAGCTGCTGCCCCAATTCCTCGACTGCACTAAGACCTACGAAACCATTGTCCTCTTCGGTGCGAGCACCGATACCTACGATCGAGTCGGCCGTGTCTTGTCTAAGCGACCATATGACCACATCACTCGAGAGATGGTAGAGAAGGAACTGGAAGGATTCAAGGGAAAGCAGATCCAGATTCCGCCCTTGTACTCGGCGCTCAAGATGAATGGCAAGCCACTCTACGAATACGCGCGCGAGGGGAAGCCTATTCCTAGGGAGATTGAGGGCAGAGAAGTTGAGGTGTTGGAGGTTGAGCTTCTGGAGTGGTACGAGCCCAAGACACACAATCACCGCTGGCCAACAGAGGAGGCCGAGGCGGCCGAGCGCAACCTTGCCGAGCAGGTCTGGAGGGTTAAGAAGCAGCAGGAGACTGGGCGAAAGCTCACTCCTGAAGAAAAGGAGCAAGACGACCAGGCGGTCGCCGCGCACGAGACCTTCAAGCGCAGGTTCGAAGAGCGACAAGACGAGCTCATCAAAGATGCGCCGCGCAAGAAGCAACGCCCCTCCAAGCACTCCGCCATGATGTCTGGCGCTCTTGGGCAGCTGCCCCAGCCCGTCTACTCTAGCAAGGGCAAGAACCTCGTCCCTCCGACACCCGACGAAAGCACTCCTCCGCCGTGGAGCGATGAGGGCCCCCCTGCCGCCAGGATCCGACTCAAGGTGACGTCAGGCTTCTACGTCCGAAGCTTCTGCCACGACCTTGGCACCAAGCTGGGATCCGCGGGCCTCATGGCAGAGCTCGCCCGTGTCCGCCAGAGTGATTTTACCATTGGCGGCACAAATTGCCTTGAGTACGATGACTTGGCCAAAGGAGAGGAAGTCTGGGGTCCCAAGGTCGCCGACATGCTCGCGCGTTGGAATGGAGAGCCCGAAGGAAGCTGGCCTGGCCCTAAGGCAGCTCCCAAGGCGACGAACCAGCACACTGAGAAAGCCGAAGCGCAGAAGAGGCAAGAGAAGAAGAGCGCCAGCCCGGTCGCATCACCGACTGCCGCTACTCGATCAGAGAAACGATCACGGTCTCCCTCTGCAGACAGAACTGCGTCTCCGGCACGCAAGATCCAGGCGAAGGGCGACGGGGAGAAGCCATCCCGACAGACAAACGGCACCAAGACGCCGACCAAGTCTGATGATGAAAAGTCCTGGAACGGCTTTGACGATTGAAGCGTAAAGAAAACATATATACTATATTCGGAACAAATCTACTACAACAGCTTTCTGCAATTTTCGGTTTACAACCAAGGGGAGGAAAGATGACGGCGTTGCGATACCATTACCCAGAGTCATGCAGGCTTACCAGGGCTGGGATTTGCTACCTCCTAGGTAGGCCCATGATGGCATACAGATTACGTCCCAGGGGACGTTATGTTCATTTAGAAGCGCAGGCAGATGTTCTGATTGATTCGAGTCTCTTGCTATACTTCAATAAAAATGACAGTTTCTCGAGTTCCCTCTTAGTTTCGCCTAATCTGCAAAATCCCAGTTCTCGATGGAGCATCTTTGCTACATATACTCCGTACTCCCTTTGTCTCGCAATCTGTGTAAACCAACGACACCTGTGATATCAAAAGCCAAAAGCTAGGCTAAAACAATGTCCATCCAATCCATTTCCTGCACCTGAGCCTGTTCGCCAAACAAAGGAAAGATGAAGAAGAAGGGCGAGAATGGGGAAAAAACAAAACATTTCCGCGCTTCCTGTTTCCAACAATCCAATATCCCGTAGCAAATCCCTCAAATACCAATCACCAACCCATTAGTCCCTTTTATATTTATGTTTCCCCCCCACCGGTTCATTTCATCAAGTCATTCAATCCTCTCAGACGCCAGCGACAGAGCCGCCGCGTCGCAGCCCTCCTGCAGCAGCACCTTGACCTTTTCGATGCGGTTCATCGCCAGCTCCAGCTTGTCGAGCCTCTTCTTCTTCTCGACATCTCGCTTCTCAAGCTCGGATATCCGCTGCTCGAGCGCGGCGCGGACGCGGCGCTCCGTGGCCACCATTTCGTTGGCCTGCTCGAAGAGCGTGACGCTCAGCTCCTCGACCTCTCTATTCGTCGCGTTGAGCCGGCCCTCTGCCGCCCTGCGCAGCGCCTGTTCCTTGTTGAGGGCCTCGAGCAAGTCCTCGGCGGTGCGGCCGGGGGTTCTCATCATCATCATCGCCGCTGTCTTGTTTGACTCAGTCGATTGTGGTGGTGGTGGTGTCACCGGTGGTTTGGGCGAGGGCTTGGAGGCCGGAGGGCTGGCGGGTTGGGACCGGCGCGAGTTCATGAGGGCGGAGATGCGTGTCGCGCCGGCCTGGAAGAAGGACGAGCGGGAGGGGCTCTGGCCGGTGGCGGGGTCGGTGGTCGATGATGATGAAGTGGACGAGGATGATGAGGACGACGAGGACGAGGACGAGGAGGCGAGCTTCGCCCGCAACTTGGTCAGCTCGGCCTCGTATTCTGTCCAGCGCTGGACGGCGGCGGCGGCCTTTTGGTTGAGCTGGAAGACTTGGGACTCGAGCTCTGCGATGCGGGCCTGGGCGTCGAGGAGCTGCATGGACGGAGGCTCGTTCTGCGGAGGGATGAGGAAGCCGCAGCTGGGGCAGCATGATGGGCTGGGGTCGACGAAGAGCGAGGTCGTCTTGGAGGCGGCCGTGATGACCATTGTGGACGACATGGCTTGGCGACTTTGTAGCTGTCGATGTGGGTTAGGGATTTTTTGACGGGCTGTTGTTTTTGTCTGGGTAGGTAGACAAGAGAATTGATGGACGAACCTGGTTGATGGCCTGGCTCCCGGGGTTCAGGTGCGTAATAATACTAGTACTCGTGTTGAAGAAGCGGGATTCATGCCCATCCAGACAAGCCCAAGCAGCAGCTGCTTGTATGACGACGTATGTATGACAACACTTTCGTATCTTCCAAAGGCAAGGTTGAAGAAGGGCGGGAAAAGATGGCGGGGCGGTCTTGAGGAACGGGAATGTCGCGTGTAGGTGGAGTTGCCCAACAGGGGACCTTTTTTCAAAGGGAGCAAAGTGCCGGCACGGATGCGCTGGAAGAGGGCCTGTGCAAACACAGGAACAGGGGGGGAGTTTGGGGGGGAGGCTGCTAAGTGACAGCGGCTGTGGTCCGCTTCTTCAGGGCTGAGCAGTTGTTGATTTCGATCAAGTTAAATGATTGAGCTGGGCGGAGATGGTCTGTGTGGCTGCCCGAGGAGCTGGATCCAGCGGCATCTGACATTGTGCAGTAATTACAAGCCTCACGGGGAACGTCAAGGGGAGTTGATGCTATTATTAGATACGATCACGCATTCTCGTACGTAGATACGTAGTGAATGCAGGATAAGAAAGGGTAAGACGTGCCCATGAGACGTCGCCTTGATCGTGAAGCTACGTAATGATTAAAGTGTTGATGAAGAATCGACAGTCGAGTCTATATACTACATCTCATATGAGCACATCTTCAAGATCCATCCAAGAAGCTTCAGATCCGCAGCAGCGGGCAGATTCGACAATTCCAGGCACAAGCTGCCACCTCAGGCTCTAGTCAGGCACATGTCCCCCCTCCCTCCACTATCGTAGGCGGTTCCATCATAGAGCGTCACAAAAGCCGCGCTAACACGTACACCGACCTGGTTCGGCTATAATACGGAGCTCCAACAACAGATGCTTCTCATCGCCTGGTCTGCCGTCGTCGTTCTTCAACGCTTCGTTTGATTGCGGCCCGTTTCGGTATCGGCACCTGGAAATCAAGCAGTGGCCCGTCGGCGTGCTTGACGTTGTTCTGGCGCCGTGACTGAATCATCCCATCCCTTGCTGAAATTCGGCACCAGCTTCCAATATGTGCGTGAGAATGAGCAGATAGATGTGTGGCTATGCAAGATGACCGCAGGGGCCTCTGCTGCTGCGGCAATTTGCAGCTCAAGTAGTGCTGGTGGATGCAATGGTAGACGATGTGAGCTTCAACATTTCGCAGCCAGAGCTTCAGCTTGGCTTGGCCACTTTTCGCGGCTCGCTCACTCCCGTCTCGGGATCCCTGAACTCCTTCCAGCTGATGGGAACCATGTCATTGCCTGCGTCACTGGTGGCCATGATGACACCGAGCTCGTTTGCTGCCGTAGAGAGGTAATAGTTGGCTTGGTCGCCCAAGGAGATCTAATCTGCGTGTTAGCCTCTGCAAGATAGAACCTCCGTCAGCAGTCTGGGTAGGAACCCCGGTTGACTTACCACTTGGGCCCGAACAATATCGCCAGGCTTGAATGACTCGTGGATCTTAACCTTGTCTTGCTCCGTTGCCCTCACATCCTGCACCCGTATCACGCCCTGCCACTCCGTCTGAAGAACCGTGCTGCCGACCTGCTGGATGACTACAATGGCCTGCTTCGGCATGAGACGGACCACGCGCGCCAGGACGATGTTGCCGACGTCTGGCAGAACCTCTCGCTTGCGGCCGCGCCTGACGACAGAGATGGTCGACAGCTCCTCGGCAGTGGGAGCCGTGATCTTGTTCAATCGCTTGACCGGGCCAGGAGCCTTGGCCGGCGCTGTGACGGAGACGTTGCCCAGCAGCGAGGACACGACATTGCCTCCATATACGTGCGTGCCCGGGCCAGGAGCGTACTTGCTGGTAGGGCCCAAGACTGTGCCGGGAATGGCGAGGGTAGGAATGCTGTCGGTCGCCATCGAGAACTGATTGAGCACCGGTTGAAGGACAGCAGTCGAGGAGCTTCATCGAAAAATCACGGCTTGGCAGCACCGAGGGAAAAGTCTTATCGCGATAAGGGTCACGTGAACTCGACTGCTTGGCTGCCCACCAAGACGCTTTGTCGCCGGACAGCTTCATCCGCACTTCATCCGCTCTCGGGTCCGAAGGTGGGCTCGCAGGGCGGCAAGCGGAGCAACACTTTCGAAACAAACGGAGACGAATCTGTCTGTGCCTTTCGATGATACGGAGCCCTGGTTCTGTGTATTCAAGTCCATCAGGTCTGTTTCCTTCACCGTCTACTGCACCTACGGAGAGGTACAATCCCTCACGTGCACGTCCGAAGTGCTTCAGGTTGCACCCGATGATAGCCAACAGCCAACGGCGCCTGAGTCATCGATATACGAGTACGAGCAGGACATATTCCATGCAACCACACAGAAGAACTCGGTGAAGGATCTTGGGAACCCATGATGCACCTTCTGGGCGCGCGTGTCTGACGGCCTGCAGGGAGTCAGTCATACAGGCAGGCGTATTCCGGCTGACTCACGGGAATGCTGACCCATCCGCGCGCGGCAGCCTCCCGATTAGTCGAGCAAACATTGGATCCGAATCTCAGATTCTACCATTACTTGGCTGGGCAACTATCGCGATGGGGAACGAAGCGGTGCCTGGAATCTCTGGTCTCTGCATGAATACTAGTACCTACTAACGTACAAAGACACCCACGGCCGGAGTTCGCGAACCCCGTTCCGGCGTCTCTGCATGCGATTGCTGCTTACAAACTAAACCGCACGTTGGCGTTCAGCCACCGACCGCTTGTGGGAACGGCTCAGGTGCGCCAAGGTGGACGCCTACGGGTACGGAGTCCGATCTGAGTCGCGGATCCCGTCATTGTCGTGCCCATGAGGAGAGCATCTTTTGGGGTCTAGTGGCATGCAGAGGCTGCAAAGGCTGCAAAAGTGCCCCGAAGGCTATTATCTCCGGGTCAGTTCTCCTGGACTACGGCACCGCTTCGGCACCGCTAACCAGCTTTCTCTGACGTTCACCACTTGTCGTGCGACTGCATTGAATGCCGGCAGCGTCTGCAAGGCTCATGCCAACTGTCTGGTCCATCGCCGCATGATTCGTCCGGCCTCACAAGACGGTGAGGAGTGCCTACGGAACATCGGCATCGAACCCCTTTTGACGGGGACGACCGCCGTTGATACTGCAGGATAGCCTGTGATGAAGCCTTCTGGTGTACGATGTGATCCTGCCCTGCAGGCTCAGGATGGGCTTTGAGACTGCCCAAGCATTTTCCCCCAAAATGTGGCCCGAGACTGAACGTTGTTCGTTTGCGGAACGTCGACGACTCATACGACATGATTCATCATGGCTGCCTTGGTCCTCAACGCAGCCAATGGGAAGCATACCAGTTGAGCGCCCTTTTGTGAACTGGTTATTTTCGATTCGCCGACTGGCAACTCTGTTCCATCGCCTCAACGCTCGTGTGCGCCACCCACCACCACCAGCACCACCACCAATTCAACCACAAGGCAATTGGCCTACGCAGGCACCGGATTTCAGAGACGCCGACCTGCTTGTTTAGCCCAGTTGTTCCAGTGTCGCCCCCCTGCTCTTGATGTCGGCGCACTGCATGCTGGAACCCATGTGGAGCGGGATCCAGAAACGGGTTTTGTGTCGTTGCTCCCATTGCAATGCCTAACACCCTGTCTCTGTAGTTTTACAAACGGGAACTAAGAATTCGCCGTACTGGCTGCTCGTTAATATCCACTCCGGACATGCATGGATGGCGAGCTATCGCTCCTCTCGTTTATAAGCGTTTGCTGCCCCGGTTGGGTTGGTTTCGATGCGCGCCAGGTCACTTCAGCTCGCTGTCGCCTCTGTCGAGTTTGTCCCTTCTGTCGTGAAATTGATCCGTTGATTTCTTGATTTTCCTCTATTCCGGCAACAGCTGCGTATCTCTGGGCTTATACACCCAAGATTCTCCTTCGACGCTGCATCTCGTTTGACCGGGGAGCCCAGGGCCAAGACTCTCCCCGGTAGCCTCCACAGTCGACTAGAAGATCCCCGTGGCGCCACCCGCTTTGCTGAGCGAGACAACATCTGCTGCCTCTGGTCTAAGTGGCCGCGACCTCGGGCAGTACGCCGAGGCCTTTCAAAACTATGGCAGACCCCGAGGCCGAGAAAGAGACACAGGCGTCAATAGCTGTTCCAGGGACCAGCGCGATCAGCATTCAATCAGCCTCAGAGGACCACAGTGATGGACTCGACAGTGAAAAGGCTGCCCACGTGGGCGAGAAGAATGGCGATGGAATTGAAAGAGTCGAATCCAGGTCCGACCAGGAAGAGGATTCGCCCAAGGAGGCGCTGCGAGCAACTAAGAGCCATGCAACTGATGCCAGTGTAGCTACAACTGCTGCGGTGGTGCAACAGCCGAAGTTGCGCTGGTATAAGCGGATCAACCCCATGCGCTGGGGCGGCATACCAGAGATTCCCAAGGAGCGTATAGTCTCCCGGGAGTACCAGGCCGGGTTCTTCAGCAGACTCACGTTCTACTGGATGAACCCTCTCATGACGGTGAGATTGTGACCTCGGTTAGATCGATATATGCTACGAGTTGTGTGAGCTAACTAGACTCATGTTTCGCAGACCGGATATAAGCGCCAGCTGGACAAACAGGACATCTGGCTCGTCAATCCGGACAGAGCAGCAGAGCCTATGACCCTCAGAGTGAGGGAGGCCTTTCAGAGACGGGTAAAGAATGGACAGAAGCGGCCTCTGCTTGGGGCCTTGCACGAAAGCTTCAAATTCGAGTTTTGGCTCGGCGGTTTCTGCTCGCTCATCGCCACGGTGATGCAGGTTCTCTCTCCGTTTGTTCTCCGTTACCTGATCCAGTTTGCAACCGATGCATACATAGCTCATGTCAGCGACGCTCCTGCTCCTCACATCGGACGTGGTCTCGGTTTGGCCATTGGCGTTACCCTTATGCAGATCGTACAGAGCGTGTGCATCAGCCACTTCATCTACCGAGGCATGATGATGGGTGGCCAAAGTCGTGCCGTCCTCATCAGCATGATTTACGAGAAATCCATGGTGATATCCGGTCGTGCCAAGGCTGGCGGCATCAAGGAGGCTGCTGTGCCAGAAGCGAGCGAACAAGAGGAGAGTGACAAGAGTCAGGGCAAGGGCAAGGGCAAGGACGGAGAAAAGGACAAGAAGAAGGGCGAGAAGGGCGCCCCGGGGCATGATGGCTCAGGTTGGAGCAATGGACGCATCACCAACTTGATGAGTGTCGATACCTATCGCGTTGATCAAGCTTCGGCCCTTTTACACATGACCTGGACTTCGCCTGTCGCTTGCATCATCACCCTGGTCCTGCTTTTGATCAACCTGACGTACAGCGCCCTGGCCGGTTTTGGACTCCTCGTCATCGGTGTTCCGCTCATCACTAGAGCCATTCAATCACTACTCCGTCGAAGAAAGGCCATTAACAAGATTACCGACCAGAGAGTATCCCTCACTCAGGAGATCTTACAGTCCGTCCGGTTCGTCAAGTACTTTGGCTGGGAGAAGGCCTTTATCGACCGTCTGGCCGAGATCCGCTCCAAGGAGATCTACTCCATTCAGGTCTTGCTTGCCATCCGCAATGCGATCAATGCTGTCAGCATGTCCATGCCCATTTTTGCCTCGATGCTGGCTTTCATCACTTACTCCCTGACCAACCACGGCTTAGCACCAGCCGAGATCTTTTCTTCGCTGGCTCTGTTCAATGGCCTACGAATCCCTCTCAACTTGTTGCCTCTTGTCCTCGGCCAGGTGATCGATGCCTGGTCTTCTCTGCAGCGAATCGAGCAATTCCTGCTTGAAGAAGAACAAGAAGAGGACGTTGTCTTCGACCCTGAGGCAGAGCATGCCATCGAACTCAAGCATGCCTCTTTCACTTGGGAGAGAACACCTACCAAGGAGGCCGACAAGGCTGATGCTGGCAAGGGCAAAAAGGCTGCCAAGAAGGTCGAGGCTCCAAAGGAGACTGCTCCGTCTGCATCTGGCGATGACTCTGCTAGTACTCTGGTAGAGGAGCGGGAACCCTTCAAGCTGCAAGATTTGAATCTGCAGGCCGGTCGCAACGAACTGATCGCTGTCATTGGCACTGTCGGTAGCGGCAAGAGTTCTTTGCTTGCTGCCCTGGCCGGTGACATGCGCAAGACAAGTGGTGAAGTCATCTTTGGTGCCTCCCGGGCTTTCTGTCCTCAGTATGCTTGGATTCAGAACACTTCGCTACAGAACAATATTATCTTTGGCAAAGACATGGACCAGGATTGGTATAAGGAGGTTATTCGAGCGTGAGTTTGCGGTTTTTCTCCCTTTTCGCTATCAATTCCAAGACTAACAGAGGTTCTTGACAGTTGTGCCCTTCAAGCTGATCTCGACATGCTCCCCAACGGCGACCTGACTGAAATCGGTGAACGCGGTATCACAATCTCTGGAGGTCAGAAGCAGCGTCTCAACATTGCACGAGCCATCTACTTCAACGCCGACATTGTCCTCATGGACGATCCTCTCAGTGCCGTCGACGCCCATGTTGGTCGCCACATTTTCGACAATGCCATCTTGGGCCTGCTTAAGGACAAGTGCCGTATCCTCGCTACTCACCAGCTCTGGGTTCTGTCGCGTTGCGACAGGATCGTCTGGATGGATGGCGGCAAGATCCAAGCTGTTGACACGTTTGAGAACCTGATGCGAGACCACAAGGGTTTCCAAGAGCTGATGGAGACGACCGCCGTTGAAAAGAAGGAGGAGGAAGGTGATGAAGAGGAAGACGACGACAAGTTGAAGCAGCTGACTCTGAGTGAGACCGCCGAGGCACGCAAGAACAAGAAGAACAAGAAGGGCGCGGCTCTCATGCAGCAGGAAGAAAAGGCCAATTCCAGCGTGCCTTGGTCCGTGTATGGCGCATATGTCCGCGCCTCCGGTACTCTGCTGAATGCTCCCCTGGTCATCTTCATTCTCATCCTTTCGCAGGGTGCCAACATCATGACCAGCTTGTGGCTCTCGTACTGGACCTCGGACAAGTTTGGCTTGTCAACGGGCCAGTACATCGGCATCTACGCCGGACTCGGTGCTCTCCAGGCGGTGCTCATGTTCCTTTTCTCCGTCCTGCTGTCTATCCTGGGAACGACCGCCAGTAAGGTGATGCTCCGCGAAGCAATGTTCCGAGTCTTGCGTGCGCCCATGTCCTTCTTCGACACGACGCCGCTGGGCCGCATCACGAACCGCTTCTCCCGTGATGTCGACGTCATGGACAACAACCTGACGGACGCCATCCGGATGTACTTCTTCACGCTCTGCATGTGCACTGCCGTGTTTGCCCTCATCATTGCCTACTTCCACTGGTTCGCCGTCGCCCTTGTGCCTCTGTACTTCTTGTTCATCGGCGCCGCGTCGTACTATCGCGCGTCGGCCCGCGAGGTCAAGCGGTTCGAGTCGGTCCTCCGATCTACCGTCTTTGCCAAGTTTGGCGAAGGTCTTACGGGTGTGGCTTCGATCCGTGCTTACGGGCTCAAGTCCCGATTCATCAAGGATCTTCGCGATGCCATTGACGAGATGGATGGCGCTTACTTCCTCACCTTTTCCAACCAGCGCTGGCTGTCTCTTCGGCTAGATCTAATTGGTAACCTCCTTGTGTTTACCGTTGGTATCCTTGTTGTCACCTCACGATTCAGCGTCAACCCTTCCATCGGCGGTCTGGTCCTCAGCTACATTCTGTCCATTGTACAGATGCTGCAGTTCTCTATCCGCCAGTTGGCCGAAGTTGAGAACGGCATGAACGCGGTCGAGCGTCTCCGCTACTACGGCAACGAACTTGAAGAGGAGGCTCCTCTGCACACTGTTGATGTTCGCGAATCCTGGCCCGAAAAGGGAGAGATTGTCTTTGACAATGTCGAGATGCGCTACCGAGAGAACCTGCCGCTTGTGCTGAAGGGCCTTTCCATCCACATCAGGGGCGGAGAGCGCATCGGCATCGTCGGCCGTACTGGTGCTGGAAAGAGCTCCATCATGAGCACCCTGTTCCGTCTTGTCGAGATTTCGGGAGGCTCCATCACCATTGACGGCATCAACATTGCTACCATTGGCTTGTTCGACCTACGGTCCCGGCTTGCCATTATTCCCCAAGACCCAACCCTGTTCCAGGGTACTGTTCGCAGCAACCTTGATCCCTTCAACGAGCACACCGACCTGGAGCTCTGGTCCGCTCTTCGACAGGCTGATCTTGTCCCTGCAGACGCCAACATGGAGGACCGCAAGACGGACCCCTCACGCATTCATCTCGACAGCGTCGTGGAAGAAGATGGACTCAACTTTTCACTCGGCCAGCGTCAGCTCATGGCTCTTGCGCGCGCCCTCGTGCGTGGCTCTCGAATCATTGTCTGTGACGAAGCCACGTCCAGCGTCGACATGGAGACGGACGACAAGATCCAGCGGACCATGGCCACCGGGTTCAAGGGCAAGACCCTGCTCTGCATTGCCCATCGCCTGCGCACCATCATTGGCTACGACCGCATCTGCGTCATGGACGCCGGCCGCATCGCCGAGCTGGACACGCCCCTGGAGCTGTGGAAGAAGGAGGACGGCATCTTCCGGGGCATGTGCGACAGGAGCGGCATTCGCGTTGAGGACATTGAGAGTGCGAAGCTGGAGCTGGATCAGCTGACTGCTGCTGCTGCTGCTGCCACCAGCTCATGAGAGGATCCTGATGTTATACCCCCCCATTTTCCTTTCTGATGTTGAATGACTCCTTCACGTATTGGATACGATGATGCCTTCTCAACGTGAGAAGATCCTTGGAGGTTTCCTGCATGAGAGTGCTCATTCGAAGCATTTCCACAAAAAGTGCAAGTTACATTGAATCATATGTTTTTTACGAATTTTCTCTGTTTATTCATATCTATATCTAATAGAAAGGGGGAGGGCAAAGGGCTAGAAAAGTGATGGTACTGTCTCTGTTGAAAGGCAAAATGGAGCTTCGCCAAATACATTCAAATCAGCCAAACACTTCGCGGCCGTAAGTCTTGGTTGGCCAAAAGATTGGCATGTTGTGAAGTGAGACGAGATCAGGCGCGAAGACCAAAATGAAGAAAGCCCTTACAATTCCCTGTCCCAGTCAATTTTCACTTGCATAGTTCTCAAAAAGTCAATGACCCAGCGAACAAGGCGGAACGAAACGAAGTAAAAGTAAAGTAAGATTCATACACTGCTCATCATTTGACGCCAATAAAAGAACACCCCATATCTTTGGAAAGAATCACAGAAAAAGTGTTCTTTGGATAATTAAGAACAAGAGTAGAAAGGACAAAGATACGCGCCCACCAAAGACAAAATTATTAAGAAGACATTTTTTCTTCCCAAACAGAGATCCAGGGCTAATACCGCTGGCGAGGACTACCACTGCCCCTCGGACCAGAGCTGGGCGGCATCTGGGGCGGAGGAAGGCTTCCGGGCTCGTCGGCGAGCAAGTCCTCGAGGTAAGCACTGGGAGCCCGCTGGCCCGGCTGACGGGAGTTGAGGTTGACGGAGCTGCTGCTCATGTCCCTGCGGGGCGAGAAGTGAGGCGAGTCCGGGGGCGAGGGCCCCATGAGCGAGCCCCTGGAGCCGTTGGGGTAGCTCATCGAGTCCGGGCGCAGGTTCGTGAGGCTGATGGAAGGGCCCTGCTGGCCGCCGCCGCCGGGCGACGAGTTGCCGGCCGCGTAGAAGCCCGAGGGCAAAAAGGTCGAGCCGCGGCCGCCGGGGACGTTGGACCCTGCGGCGGTGGGCGAGAAGAAGAGGTTGGACTGGCTGGGGGCGGCGGAGGGCGTCATGGTGTTGCGGTTGGTGCGGCGGGTGCCGCGGCCGCCGCCGCCGCCGCCGGCGGGAGGAGGCGCGGGCGAGGCCTGGTCCGAGTACTTGTAGAAGGGGGCGGGAGGCGCCGGGAAGCCGGCCTTGCTGTTGGCCTCGTGCTGGGCGAGGGCGGCGCGGCGGACGGAGCGGTGCAGCAGGAAGCTGACGATGATGCGCCAGAGCAGGACGCCGAGGCCAAAGGCGCCGAGGATGGCGCCCACGGCGATGAAGACGGTGCCGTCGGGGGCGTTGGAGTGCTGCATGAAGGGCGCGTTCTTGGTCGGCGGCACGGTTGGCGGAGGATATGTCGGGACGGCGCCGCCGCGGGTCAGGGTCGGGAGGCCGGTCGGGCCTGAGTCGTCGTCGGTGCTGGCGATGCTCCCGGCGCTGCTGGGTGATGTTGTCTTTGAGGACGTAGGCGTGGGCGTGGACGTGGACGTGGGCTTGTTGGTGGTGGTGGTGGTTTCGGACTTGTTGTTGTTGTTGTTGGCCTTGTTGTTCTGGGCCAGGATGGGAGTGGCCAGGACAGCGACTGCTGCCAGCGTCGAGAGGAGGTTGGAGGCCCGCATGGTTGGCTGTCGAGGTATTATATATCAGGATCGATATGTGTGATGTTGTAGCCTGGATCAAACGAGGGGCGCAACGGGGTGCGTATCGAGAAGAGCGGCTGCGAAAGTGCTGAAGCGGATTCGAAACGAGCGTGGAAGAGGAGGTCGTCGTAGGTGTAGGAGGGAGTCGTCGCCTTTTTTTTTTTTTTGCTCAAGAGTGAAACAAGACGAAAACGGAAGGCTTTGAATCGCGCGCGAGTTCGAACGAAACCAGCAAATGACTGTCGGAACGAGTGTCGCAGGCAAAAGACTGGTTTATTCCATGTGAAAGCGCAATGGCGATCGATGCGACGCGACGCGATGCGTGCAAAGCGATCGCGGTCGAGGCCGGAGTTGGCGAGGAGTTGGTGGACCGGCGGAGATGGATGGATTGAAGTGAGAAAACGGGAGATGCAGAGGCTGCAGGTGGTGTTTTGACCTCCTTTTAGGCCATGCAGCCCGGCCAACAGCGCCAGCGATCAGAGAGGTTTGTAGGCGGCTGGGAGCTGGAGGGCAGATGAGCGGGCGTTGCGCACTGTACGGGCGTTGGATTGCAGTGCCAATGAGGAGCGGTTGCAGGGCGGGAGAGGCTGAGGGCGGCGCTGGAGGGGAGCTCGTATTGAGGGTTTAGCGGCTGATGGACAGTGCGTTGGATTCGTGTAAGAACTGTCCATCTTTTTTTATTTTGCGTGTATTCCCGTGAAGTTGTCTGATTGAACCTGAGCAGGTAGATATATATCTGGTTGTGGTATGATCAATGGAATTCGCAGTAATAGTCCGGATATCTACAGCTTGCAATCAAGTCCTTTCTGAAGCGGACTCGTGTGTTGTGCATACTAGTACAGAGTGCATGCATGTATGTTCCCAGTTGATTAAAGGGCCCCGTCTTGGGACGATACTACATACTAGTACCTTCGTATTGCATCTCCACACTGACCAAGAAGGAAGCTTCTTTCAGTCTTGTGAGAGTCATCTCAATTGTTACAGCGACAGACTTATTCTTAACATCTCAAATAAGATCGAGCTAGCTACAAAGCATTTACATGATCAAGTGATTTTTCCTTGTTTTTTCTTCTTCTCTTTCCTGCCTCTTCAGCAAGTCACAACCCTCCTCCTGCTGTATGTAGGTAGTTGAGGCACAAGTCCCCCGTATAAAATCAGACTTCGTCTCATCCCAGGCCAGCGCACGTGACTCTGACGTTGGCTCATCCTCTAGCCTCTGCGCTACCGCCAGATCCAAGCGCTCCGCAGAAGCGTCATCACCAAGCCGACCAAACCAAAAGACCTCGTTCAATCCTCAACCTTTGACCTTCAGCCTTGCGAGCAACCAGCTACACCTTGTCGCCCGTCTCCTCGCATATTCGCTCTTTTCCCCCTAAATACTTCCATCAACACCCCCCAAACTCCTCGACTCTCAGTCACCGCGACTCGACCGACCGGAAAAATCATGGAGGAGGAGCGTCTTTGGAAGTTCAGGAAGCCCGAGTGGCTCAACAGCATCTGGGCCCGGAACGCTGGCGTCTACGGTGCCGGAGCTCTGGTGAGTGCACCTCCACGTCTACCGCCATCTGACCACTGCCCGAGCGAACTTCTCGACATTGGCGTGCTCCTCTCGATCATAGAACCCCAGCTGACGTATGCGCCTCCCCCGTTTCGCAGTTCTCCCTCGCCTTCTATGTCATGCTCGACTCCGCCGTCTGGTCCAAGTCGGCCAAGAACGGATCCAACGTCCACGTCAAATTCGTCGACTGGCTGCCGCTCATCTTCTCCAGCCTCGGCATGCTCATCATCAACTCGGTCGAGAAGCAGCGCCTCAGCGCCGACTCCTTCAGCTACAGCGGCTCCGGCGTCGCATGGAAGGCCCGCGTCGTCTTGTTCCTCGGGTTCGCGGCCCTTGCCGGCGGCATGGCCGGAGGCGTCACCGTCTTTGTGCTCAAGTTTGTGGTTCCCGGCGTCGGTATGCCGGCCCTGAGCATGGGCATTGAGAATCTCGTCAGCAACGCCCTGGTAGGCTTCAGGTATGCGCAGAATTCGTCCCGCCATTATGATTTATCCACCAGCGGAAGAAAGAGTTCTTTGGTAAACTAATGATAATCGCGTGTACAGCTCCGTCGTCTTGTGGATTAGCCAAAACATGGAGGACGAATACTCCTACAACCTCTCACTGTAACTGACTTGGAGCCTGTAACTGCGCGCAAAAAAGGGGGAGAGCGAGTGTTGTCGGCGTATGTCTTTGGATCACGGGCGTAACTTGGGACTCTTGGGGCCGGTTTGGTTTTTCCTTGACTTGTTTTGTCCTTTAGCACACGCGCGCAAACGCTCGCACATGCTGTTTCTTTTTATCAGAGCACGCAGTTGGTGATGATTTAAGCCTCTGTTTCTCGTTTGGGTCGCAACCGTCAGCTGATGTGTGAACTGGACTTGAGCCCTGTGTACATGGTATGACCAGGTTTATTGATTTGTATTTGAGCCCCGTAGCGTACCGCCTTGAGACTCCTATCTGCTTAAAGAACCAGATGTTATGGTAATTCGCTATATGTCAACTCCGGATAATGACACGGCCGTGGGCTGTGGGCGTGGCAGGACCTGAGACGCATTCGAGGTGTATGTCAACCGCAGTCGCAGGGAGTTGTCACTGCTAGCGCCCGCCCACCACAGGCGCCGTCTCTAGTAGTACTTTGCAGTCCCCATCCAACAGCAATCCATCTTCCTCATCTCCCTGAACAACAACAACTTGAACGCATCAACAATCCCCAGTGCATCTACAGTCTATACGGCATTTTACCCGTGGCAAATCACACTCTTCCCGGCTCTCTCTCTCCTCTTTTATTCATTCAAACCATTGTCATAGCCGCATCTCAACCGTAACGCCATCAAACAGTACAACTCGCAAACCAAACCTCTCACCCTCTAAGCCATAACAATACCGGCATCAATATCTAAAACCCCAGCCATGAATGCCCCCAACGGCTCCTCCCGCACAACAAGAAGCTCCGGCCTCGCCACCGCGAGCAGCAGCACCAGCAGCACCCCAGCAAACAACGGCAACAAGACGAGCCTCTTCCGGAACCACTTCATGAAGCGGCCAAACGCCGGCACAACAACGACAACAACAACACCTATTTCTTCAGCACACGAGCCGGAAAGCATGCGCATGGACGTCGACACGCAGCGGCAGCAGAGGAGGCGCGAACCGTCGTCGTCATCGTCGTTGGACCTGGTGGTGCGCGACAAGAACGGGGATCCCGAGGTGGCTAATCCGCCGCCGCTGGTGGTGGATGATGAGGATGAGTTGCAGGCGCTGGAGATGCAGGAGGAGAATGAGAGTGAGGATCCCTACTACACCTCCATTGAGTTTTGCGGTCGAGGCTTGGGATGACGTTGCACTTGGGCAAATTGATCATGATGGCTGACTCTTGGTTTCCTCTTGGTGCGTTCTAGGGGAGAAGCAGCGTTTGGCAGAGGCCATTCGACTGTATCGAATAAGCCACAGCTCCGTGGTCCATCCAACAGAGGGTGAGCAATGATGCCAATGCTATTTTTTTTACTACTTTCACATACAAACGACTTTGGAACTGACACTTTAGCTGACTCGGTCCCTCTTCCAGCCCTGCTAGAGGCTGTGCGTGAGAGCAATAGGAACAAGGTCAGCGCCTTGGCTGAGGACAACTGGATGTTCGAGGCGGAAGAGCAGCCACGCCTGGCTTGAGCATCGAGATGTCAGCGCTCGAGCTACTCATCCCCCTTCAACCCCCCTTTTACTACCTTAATTTGATGTGCCCGCCTACGCCGTGTGTCTATGATACATGACTGAACTCTATTCGTCGCTACTGAAGATGCAAGGTATGAGAAGAAAGAAGAGGAGGAGGAGGTTGTTCGGAAGAGAAGATTACAGGATGATTCTGAGTTGACGATACCGCAGCAAGCCTACTAGTCTAGTCCTTCAGCAGCGGGAGCTTCCGCTCCACGCAAACCCGGCCGCCGTGTCTGCGGCGGCGGCGCGGCGCCTCCTCCGCCAAACAGCCCGCTCATCATGTCCATCAGGGGGTTGCTCTGTCGCGGCTTTGCGATGCCAAAGTACATCTCGCCAATCATCTCCAGGGGCTCCGCCCACGCCTCGGCCTCGTCAATCTGCGTCGCGTACTTGGACACCAGGCCCTTGTAGACCTCGGGAGCCCCCCGCTGGATGGCCAGGAGCAGCAGGCCCAGGAAGTTGAGCAGCGGCAGGCTGGGGAAGATGCGGGCGTCGCACGTGGCGCTGGAGACGTCCTGCACGCCGAGGGACGGGTTGTCGGTTGTGAGGGCGCTGATGAAGAGGCGGTAGCAGGTGTTGGCGGCGCGGACGTTGCCGACGAGGAGGTAGGGGAGGATGGCCCGCGCGGCAAAGTGCGGTGCCAGGTGGGCGTCGCCTTCTCTGTACCAGGCATATTCCATCTTGAGGAGCACTTCTGGAGAGTCCTTGGTCCCCAATATCAGGTGTCGTTCTGCCTCGTACGTCTCGTGCTCCTCTGCGTATAGTGATCCGGCGACGTGGTGCAGCTCGGGGTCGCCGGCAGGGTACTCGCCAAACTTGGACGACCATCTTTGGAAAAAAAAGCATTCAACAAGTCAGCACATTCTCCTCAGCATCTCGTAGCGTATAACCTCCCCCAAAAAGAGAGAGATCCGCCATTTTTCTTTTCTTCCATATACACAACAACAACAACAACAACGAGCGAAAAGGGATGACCAAACTACTCACCCCATGCTCTCGGCGATAAACTTCTTCCTCGTCGGCTCCGCGGGGTCAAACAGCCGCAGGCACGTCAGCAGCCGGCCCTTGCTGGTAGCGTCAGGCCTGAGCTCGGCCTGCTTGTAGACGTCGACCATCATGACGCAGAGGTCGCCGCCGCTGCCGCCCTGCGCGGCCTTGAGCAGCGACTGCGCGACGCTGTAGAGCACGTCGATGGCCGCGGGCCAGTTCTGGGCCTTGATGTAGCGCGAGGCGGCGACGCGCGTCTGCTGCTGCGCTTCGTAGTAGTCGCCCTCGGCAATCTTTTCCTGCAGCCGGGCGACGATGCGTTCGACTTTGTTGGCCATTGTTGGCGACTTTGATGAGGGGCGCGCGCGGGGCGGGCGCAGCTTTCTTTGATCGGGTTGAGACTGGGCGAGTGATGGAGGAGGAGTTTGTCTTTTTGGGCGCCTTGAGTGTTGGTTGTTGTAGCAAGAGGAGGCCTTGAGGGTAGGTAAGGTACCTAGCCAGATGATCTTAGTTGTAGCTACTTACGGGAGAGGAGGAGTGGGTGTCTTGGAGCTACATACCTTGTGGTGATGAGATACCTACTGGTAGAGAAGACGATGGAGGGGTCAAAGGTGGGAGAGCAACCTACCTACCTAGCAAGTTTGGGGTATGGATGATGCGACGATTTGGTAGCTCTAGCTTGCGGCTATCCTATATGAGGCTTGACTGAAGAGCTCTACTCAAGCCTATTACATCATCAGCGCGAATAGTGTAGCGGTTAGCATGCATGCTTCCCAAGCATGCGACCCGGGTTCGAGTCCCGGTTCGCGCATCTCTTTTTGCTCTTTTTGTGCTTTTTGTGTTTTTGGCGCTCTTTTGGCAGTTCTTGGTCAACGCAATACATTTTGATTTTCAATTTCAGAATTGTTGCAGAACTAGACTGAGGAGGGTCTGTGCTTGCGTTTCTACAATCTGGAAAATTGAGAGGGGAGTTTAGCATTGATCGATTGGCCGCTGGTTTCCCCCTCTGGGGTCTTGTAAACGCCTGAGCGATGTGTACCTACAGGCAAGACACGTCTAATCTCGCAAAGCACAGTAATAGCAAGCAGTCATATACCCAGAAACCAATGCTCTCAACTACCATAGTGTAACGTACGTTATCAAAGAGACACGCTTTGATACACCTGCTGCCTTTTACGTGCCAACCCAAGGGAGAGAGGACCAACTCCTTGCCTCTGGCTCGATATACCTAATCGAGCCTTGGGATAGGGAGCAGGCATCTCCTCGGAAAAGATACCGGTTTTGGCTTCCCCAAGCCCTATCTCCCCCATCCATATCAATGGACCCAAGTGCTGCCAGAAGACCTCCTACCCTTCTCGTACAGCCACTTGCTGTTGAGCCCGATGCTTGTCCTCTTGCCTGCTGAAGGGCTCGGTGAGGCAGGGTCGGGGAGGAGGGTTGACGAGGTGCTCGCGCCAAAGGAGCCATTGAAGGAATTGCCAAAGGAGCCTGGCGCCCCAAAGGATGACCTCCTGTGGCCCGCGCCATTAACGCTCTGGAGCAGAGGGCTCCCTATGGGGGAGAACTGGGAGACGGAGCCGCTGAAGCTCTGAGAAAGAGCGCTGGACACGGGGTCGCCCCGTCCCTCCAAGGGAGAGTTGGGGAAGCTGGCCCTGCTTCCCACCGAGCCTGCGATGGACGGAGTTCGCGAGTATCGCGGCGGGGTGCTGATGTTGACGTCGGGGGTAGGTGCTGTGACCGACGGGTTGAGGCCCAGCAGTTTGCGCTGGGTAGCCGTCAACGGGATGTCGGCGAGCTCGTCTTTGGGTCGGATGAGTGGCAGGCAGGCCATGCCGATTTGGATGAATGGGATGAGCTGGGCGACGAACCATGCCCAGCCGAGGTATAGTCGTACAGATTTGGGAAACCTATATATATGATGTTTCATTTGGCATTAGAGAACAAGTCCAGTCAACGTTCAATGCGCCGCGAGCCACAGCGTTCGCCCCCATTTTCCGGGATCTCTCACATTTGCGCGTCCACGTTGAACTTGGCCAGCAGCTGTAGCGACCACATGGCCAGCAGGGCGACAATGTTATAGGCGATCCGCCGCACGTTCTTTTCGGAAAAGTTTGTGGCATCGCGCCGCCTTGTGATTTCGTCGAGTCGAGGGTGGCGCCAGGTGCCGGGACTCTCAGTCGCCGCCGCCGGCGCGGTTTGCTTGACGGGCGTGGTCGCCCTGGCTAGGCTCGACATGATGCTGAGGAATTGCGAGCCTGGATGGTGAGGGTAGAAGGTAAAGGGAGCCGATACTTGTGGGCGGAGTGTCGCGCAAAGGGCTCGACGAGCTGGCGGTGAAGCAGGTCTGTCTGCTCGTGTCTGGTTGGGTTTCTGATGCGGCGTGTAAGCTGGGCCGAGCTCAAGTTTGTATGTAGTGCACCGAATATTACAGCAGGCGAGGCGCATCTAAGGGCAGAAGAGACGGGGAAAATCATGAGAAGGCTGAACGGGAGACGTGTTTAGACATACCTACCCAAGGCCTCGAGAAGCTGCTAGAGGATCACTGCGAGCGTCGCGCAGATTCACCGGGTTAGTACGGAGGAGTAACAGTGGCCAGGGCGGCCGTCGAGCTTGTGATGCCCCGATGTTGTTTATGTGTGCATGGCTACTGTTCGTGAGAGCAGAGCAACTGGACGAGATGAAAACGAGCAGGGGTTGATAAGATAGCTGACGTTTAGGTAGGTACACAGGTTAGTAAGTGTGTGTGAGTGGCAGAAGTTCAGTGCACCGGTTGGGGGGTTGGCGTATTGGCCCGCATCGTTACAGGGGGGCCTTCCAGTGGCTGGTCGGCTGTAGTCGAGGCAGCTTGCCCAAGGTTAAGGCCAGGGCTGTCTAGGGGATTTCTCTAGCGGCGTCACACCAGACAGCGCTGGAGGCTTTGGGCTTTGGACCTCGAAGGGCACTGGCGATGATGATGATGAAATGGAGGGCATGAGAGACTTTGATGATACGTACGTACATGTAGACAAACAATCATACACAGCGAAATGCATGGATTGATACTAGACAGCTTTTATTACCTACAACATTCGGTGCCCGTAGAACACGGTACAGACTGATGACCACAATTGCATACATGGCACACGCTTAGAACGAGTCTTGATCCAGTAGGTACCTGCAACCACAACGTCCACTGCAGGTTCCGGGTTGGTAGGGCGACGCATTGAATCATCGCAGGGCGGATTTTGGCCTTTTTTTGCTGCTAGCCTTCCTACACTAGCAAAGGCAAGGCGCGCGTTTCTTTGCTGCGAGCGTGCGCCTCGTGCTTGACCTCAGCTTTTCTCTTCCTTGCCCGCGCATTATTACTCGCACTTGCGTGCACCAGTCATTTCAGGTCTCCATTCCCGTTTCCTTTCGTCGTCATCTTCTCCCTTCCCTTTCCACACTTTCCTTCTCTCCCACACCAGCATCACGCTGTCCTTTCAACCGCCTGGCCACAACCTCACCATCAGCGCCGCCACGAGCATCGCCATCGTCATTGGCATTTGCATCAGCCCCCGACTTCTACATAGGTAGCGACGCTCCCACTCCTTCTGGCGCCAGAGGCGATAGATCATGCGCCGTTGATAGCAGCCATCGCCCACCAAACGACGAACGACGAGACACCCTCAATCTCTCCTCAACAAGCACCGCCTGCGGCCTCCTCCTCCTCCTCCCCTACTCAACGTCCCTCGCACCATGGCTGCCTCGCCCAGCTCGGCGGACGCGGCGTCGGACGCAGAAAATCCGAGCTCTCCTGTACAGGCAGAGGGCAAGTCCTCCGTTTCGCGCGCCGTCGAGGCCGAGGATGAAGACGCAGCCGTCGTCACTACCACCGAGACTGCTGAGAAGCCCTCCAGGAGCAAGGGGAAGGGCAAGGACAAGGACAAGGACAAGGACGCGCAGCCCCAGATCGGCAAGATCAGGCACCTGAAGAAGGAGGACGGAGAGCCTCTTTGGCGCAAGGATATCCAGTACGACTTCCTCCGCGCCGTCTTCGACAATGAGCAAAAGGTCTTTACCAACTCGTACGACCCCGAGCTGGAGAAGCAGTGCTTTGCCGACTTGTACATCGACACCATGGCACGCAGTTCCAAGACGAGCAAGGTGCTGCGGGACAAGCTGATGAATGACCGAGAAGCCGCCAAAGGCATGGCAATGGTCTGCCTGCTGGTCAACATGGGCCGCATGAACACGACTCTCAATTGTGAGCATCTCCTCATGCCTCTACTGGTTGAAGAGCCACGTCATGAGCGACCCCCAAGGTGAACTAACTCCACGAAATAGTCTTCCCCGAAATGCGAGCCCAGCTACGGACATACCACGCCATTCCCTCGCTGCAAGCGCAGCAAGACCCTCACGCCTACAAACAGCTGCAGGATGCTCCTCGACTCAAGTCAATCCTCAAGGGTGGCGCTGAAGACAGGGACGAGCCGAATTCCCTCGACAAGATCAAGAGCCGGGACATTCCTCGCACAAATCCCGTCAACCTCATCTTTGTCATGTGCAACTCGGCGCAAAAGGTCGCGGAGCTACACTTCCCCCTCCATCGCGAGTTTCACGATGTCATCATGAAGACGCAATACACCAGCGCGTCGCGAGCAAGGGCCTTCCTGTGGCTCATGTGGTTCTATCTCGAATCTGACTTCACAGAGGAGGGATGCGAGGAGAATCCTTTTGGTCCCGGCGTCGACTACGGCCTCGATGTCGCCAACCAAGGCGTCCCGCAGCTTGAAGAAATGACCCCGGAACAGGAGGCTGCCGAGAACGTTGACCCCCAAGTCGAGATCGACTTTGGCCACGAAAAGCAGAAAATAAGAGCCACTATCTTGGAGATGGACCATGTATATCTGACTGAGCGGGAGAAGCGTGGCAAGGTTCGGCCGTCGATAGGAGAGGAAGGGCCGGCGATCCTCCCTCGAATCCGGCCAAGCAAGCACGAATCCGACATGGAGAGTACGCGATCCACGCCGCCGCCCAGGGCGCTAGCCCGAACGATTGCCGTCATGAACGGACGCAGAGCAGCTCCTCTCAAGTATCAGATCTTTGAGGGTTCCTCGCCGGCCCGGCAGGGAGCCGAGACCGGCGTCGTCGCCAGAAAGCCTCGCCCACCGACAGCTCACCAGCTTGCGGTTGAGCGAAATCGAAGTCAGAGGGTGGAATACATTCTGGACCGCGGCCTCCGAAAGCATCATCATAGGAGCAGAAAGATTAGGCGTCAAGAGGGTGCTATTGTCAGGACGTACAGGCGCTTGAAGGCTCAGGCCGAGGCGGATCTTTTCGAGGACAGTGATGACGAAAACCACACTCCGCGCAACCTGCCCGTCAACGGCGAGAAGGGCAACGTCTTCAGAGAGAGGGGCGTCGGCGGCCTCTGCCTTTTGGCCACGGACAAGGACGACTACGGCGAAGAAGTAAGCTCGTACGCCGCCGCCATTCGACGATCCACTCGACGCCTCGCTCGTTGGCGAGAGCACAGAGACACACTCGGAGTGATTGCTCCAGTCAAGAAGCCCAAGCCGCCTACGGCCAACGAAAACGCCGAGAACGAGATGGCAGTGGATGCACCAGAAGGCCTCGCGGACGAAGCTTCGGACGTCAAGGTCAACGGCAACACGTCCAAAGAGGACAAGGACGTCGGCGGCGACGTTGCCATGATGGAAGATGTCGACATGGAGGAGGCTGAACAGGCGGCCCTGGGCGACGAAGACGCTGACGACGCCGACAAGACCGAGGTTCTGGTTGACTCGGAGGTTGAGTAGTCGGGCGCTGCTCGACTTGTGATATGGGGAGAGGTGAATCCCCCCTGAGGCGATATTCGAGAGGGAATTACAACGATGGGCATGGTTTTTGCTACACAGGGGAAACTTGTACACAAAGGAACTTTGTATGGATTAGGGAGAGCTAGATTTCTCAGGCGTCGAGGCGTTTGACCGAGAGCCCGCACTGGTGCTCCGTATGGATGAGAATTTGCAATTGATTGCGTTTCTAGAGACTCTAAAGCTGCTATATCGGGTTCATGGGATGCTTCTTCGCTTTATGGCAAGACCTAATCGAACGAGCCGCCATTTTACATGTTTGACGTTTGTCACCGAGGCAGTCAAATGAGAGGCGAAGGACGTACCTAAAGCACGAGTACGAATACGAATCCAATCTTCAACGAAAAATTCCTCTCCACCAAAAAGTTCAACGGCCTCATCCGGATCGCCGTCATCCGGCCGAGCGGTGAGGTGCGGCAGAATTGGGGTCGCCGCAAGTCCTCGGGTCACCGAGCAATATGAACACCCCGAACAAAGGGATTCCAATTGTGTGGTTTATTGATATAAACCACTGCAGTATTGATTAGCAGAAGTTTCCCCTTTTTACTTTCCTTGAACCAATTGTGCAATTGGGTCTTTGTTGGCGGCTCTGATTCTGTTCGTTTATATATACAGTTGGGCTTGTTCTTCCAGGCGTAAATTGGCTACCTACTCTGCCCAAGGTGCCCGAACAGTCGCATCCGAGGCGTTTGTTTTCATTTTCTCAACTCTCTCGTCACCGACATTGTCAAACGTACAACACCAATATTCTTCCCTAAACAGGTAATCAGGCATCTGGAGCCACAAAAGAGTCCAGCCATGCCCCGAACGGAACCCTCTTCGCCGCCGGGCGTATCCCGCCTCCTCGCCGTCCTGGGCCTGCTCACGGCGCTCCTCGCCTCGGTCATCTACGTCCTCGACCAGGACCTGGAGCGCTTCTACGTCTTCGAGACGGACCACCTGCACGATCTCGCGCAGAGGGGCATCGCGCAGCACGGCAACGACACGCGCGGCATCGTCAGGTACATTGTCGACGAGCTGAACGAGAGGGTGCCGGGCTATGTCAACCTCGAGGAGGACTGGGTGTTTAACAATGCTGGCGGTGCCATGGGCGCCATGTACATTATCCATGCCAGCGTGACGGAGTATCTCATCATCTTTGGTGCGTCATCGTCATCATCATCTTCTTCTTCTTCTTCTTCTTCTTCTTCGTCGTCGTTTTCTTCACCTCGACTCTCATACCCCTCGATTCCCCTCATTGATGAAACGCCCGAAGATCTTCATATCAACAGTTGAAAATCAATAGGCACCGCCATCGGCACAGAAGGCCACACCGGCCGGCACACCGCCGACGACTACTTCCACATCCTCACCGGCACGCAGCTCGCCTACGTGCCCGGCGAGTACGAGCCGGAGGTCTACCCGGCCGGCAGCGTGCACCACCTGCGCCGCGGCGACGCCAAGCAGTACAAGATGCCCGAGGCCTGCTTCGCGCTCGAGTACGCCCGCGGCTGGATCCCGCCCATGCTCTTCTTCGGCTTCGCCGATGGCCTGTCCAGCACCCTTGACTTCCCCACGCTGTGGAAGACGACGCATCTGACCGGGAGGCAGATGATTGGCAACTTGCTCAAGGGGAAGTTGTGAATAGAGGTGATCTTCAAAGGAGGGGTGTGGAGGTTGGCGGCTTGGTGTGGCTTTTCTCTTTGATTCTCTTTTCTCCATACAGACCATGATTAGGTTCTGGCGGTAAAAACCTGCCGAGAAAGAGG